CCCTTCCACTTTATTATTAAGGCTTGCACCCCATGTTTACTCCCACTTTGATTCCCTTAGTTGAAATCACTCATTGGTGCCTGTTGACTTACAATATGTGAGCCCCCCCTTTGTTGTTGTCCGCTGCACCTCCTGTCTGGCAGCCCGTGACTACCTATTGTTAGCCTCACCCGTGACTTCCCTTGGCAGCCTATTTGTAGTCCTTTGTTTGCCCCTTTGAGTTAAGCCTGCGTGAATTCCTCTTCCAAAGAGCAGTGTCTTCCTTCTTCCTTTCCTTGTGTGAGAGTTCCTTTGTGAAGTGAAGAAGAATGAGTAAACATGGGAGATGTTGTGGCCTAGCCCTAGAGGGTGTGTGTGAGTTTAGTCTAGAGTGGTTGGAGACCTGAGCCGGAGACGGATACGATCCTAACAGTTTTGTCACGGATTTTTGTCACAGATTTTTGAACTACCGGCCGCGACAAAATCCATGACAATCCCCCATTTTTTTGAGTATTACTAGTATAAAAACGTAGTATAAAAAATCTAACCCCATAGCCCTTATGTTATCATGAAGGCTTATGAAGTCATGGTAGAAGAAAATTTTGGCCTCCGGTCTTAATGATTATGGATGTTACTCAATTTAGTGTATAGGGCTGTCTTTTTTAGGCCAAAAAAGTCATTAAATTGTAAAGGTAGGCCTTAATATATCTCAAGTTGCAAATTGTAAAGTGATGATTCTTGAACTCATTAGAAGATTGGAAAATTAATGCATATAACAAGTATAGAAGATTAACGGTATAATTTTATTATTTAAGATAATCTATTATATTTACAATATCATATCCAGGATTCTGCAATTCTGTAACATTAGAGAAATGAAAAGTAAACTCATACGGGAACTTTGTTTTTATTCATTAACACTATTGTCTAATGGGTCTAAATTACATTCAAATTAATAATAATTTGTATTTAAAACTGGGAGTGACTATCACTAAAAAGAAATCAGCTTTATCTCTATTACTAAAAATGTGTATTTCAGTTTTATCTGTATCATACGACTTACGTGTATTTCAATTTTCTTTTCATGCGATTTGTGTGATGCCGAGGTATATTGTGTTCACACTCAATTCTCTTAACCCATTATACCTTCTTAAAGTTCACTCATTCTCTCATCATTTTTCTTTCGAGTTAGGATAGAATTCTTTCTTTTACTGATTATTATGGTCGTATGGAGTATTATTATGACTATCCAAAAGACCAAAACTTATGAAGATTGAGCTGCAAAAAGGAAGTTATGCCTGTCTTTTTTTATGTAGTTACCAATAAGTATCACTCTATGAGTTTTAGGCTATTAGCTTGGTCCAAAAGGTGGAATCTCTCGCTCCAGGAGCACCCACTCCGACCCGACAGGATGGTAGGACTTTTAGGCTATTAGCTATCTCTACTTTAAGAGATCTTTTGGTTCAAGGAATATCAGATTACCATGAGAATGCAAGATTACTGGGAATGTTAGAGTGATTGATAATGTATTCAATTTATTCTCATTTGTATTTGGTTAAGATTAAAGAAATGTATCATTATTTATTTGATTGAAAGATATCTTATATTGCAGACATGGTGAATTACTTCAATGCACTTTAAATATTTTCTCTTAACACAATAAATCTATTACAGCTTGTCAACCTACATCTAAAGTAATTAAAATTAAAGAAAAAATGAAATATCTTAATAATAAATAAAATCAAACCTAATTGAATTGTTTTTAAGTAAAGTATGTTTAATTGTAAAAAGTTGTAGATCCAATACAGAAATGAAAAAAACTTTGTTCAAATAGTAATATAAATATATTTATTATCATTTCAAAAAAAACTTAAATTTTAAAAATGTTCAAGTTATTTGTAAAACTTGTTTTCAAATTAAAGAAAAAATGATCAATTTTGCCATTAAGTTTTGAAATCCACTCATAAAAACTTAAATAATCTATAATTCTTGTCACATAAATACCTTAAAAATTTTAAATGTTAAGGAAAAAAATAAGCAAATAACAAGAATAGACATTTGAATATAAGTAAATACTCCATTCATCCCACTTAAAAGGTTGTCACACAATTTATGATATTTGACTAACCGTGAAATTAACGGATCCCTGTCAATAATAAGATTATTTTTAGTTAAGGTCACAAAAAAACAGATTTGATAATAGTTGAATATATACACACACATCTTTATATATATATATATATATATATATATATATATATATATATATATATATATATATATATATATATATATATATATACATATATAGATTTAGGATCATGTGAGAATTTGATCTTAGGAGAGAAAAAAGAATGATCTAGAGCCGTTGGATTGCAACATTATTTACATTAATTAATTAAATCGTATGAGGGTACATACGTAATTCACTTTTCTTTCCTTCTAAATCTTTGTCCTTCCGTTCATGTGTATGCTAACCATTTTACGTTCCTGTTTTTTAGCATCTTTAATTTCTTTATAGTAATATTAATATGCCTTTTAATGCTTTGGTAGATTAGTGCGTCTTCTTTTTTTCTTTTATGCTGATTTTCCTTTCCTTTTCTTTTATGTTAGTACTTTCTTTCTATAATAATGTCCGTAAGATGCCAACATAATTTTTCCATCATCTGTGATTTTATTTATTTATTACTCCCTCCGTCCCATAAAATAAGTCCAATTTTCCTTTTTGGGCCGTCCCAAAAAATTGTTCCCATTTCCCTTTTTGGAAAGTTTTGTGTGGCTAACATTCATTTAACTTTTTCTTACTTAACCACAACCATACATTTCCACTTTATTCCCACTTTCTTAAACTCTGATCCAAATTGAAATGAGACTTATTTTATGGGACGGAGGAAGTATTATTTATCTTTTTTTTTTGTTTTGAGAAATATATGCAACTTTCAATGTTTTAATGTGCACAACTGAGTTTCTGATAGTGTTATTTTTACACATTAGTATATATGTATATCTTTTTTTATGGATATAAATGTATACTCCGTATATATTAATGAAACTAAAAATATTAATCATTTTCTCACTTATCCATTCTAATTATGCATTATGTTCACGACTTTTGGGAATTTGACAATTATACGATTTTAGGCTTCTAATTTTGCAGTCTTGATTAATCGTACACTTTTTAAGGTACATATTGCACATATAAATGATTCTTAGTGCTTTTAAAATTTGTCACATGCATATAGTGCATTTTTCATGAGAAGAAAAAGTACATATTTTAAAGTATAATAAAATTACAACCGGTGAATATATTGCACCTTTAATATGCACTTTTTAAAGTACATAATGCACTTCAGGTGTTAACATGATGTATTTGTGATTTGCACTGCTCGGATTTCCTGAGATGCACTAGTTTGAGAGAGGTAGTGCACTTTTCAAATTTCTCACTTTTGTATGTGAGAATGTGCACATTTTAAAGTACAATAAAATTACAAGTGGTGAATATTGCAATTAAATATGTGAATAATGCTTAATATTATGAACGGTAATGGTAATTGTGAGAAATAATAATGATAGATATAATATTCGCATATTTTAATGATTTGCAACGTAGAACTTGTTGATTTAGAATTTACAATATGAAAGTAGAAAAGTGCACATTCAGGTATTGAAATATGCATTAATCTATTCATATAATGCAGAGTTATATGGACATTTAAATGTTAATAATTCCATGGTGAAAATTTTGAGGGATCCTAAATCCTATCCATCGTGCAAGTGAGCTGAACATTCAATGATTGGTTTTCGGTTTTTACGTGTTTGCCCTTTTGTTGGTAGGCAAACTAATTGTTATTAAGGAGCATTAATTACTTCCTTAATATAAGTTCAAATTTAGACTTCACTCTACATAAGTTTCATCCGTCGGATCACATACATTAATGCATATTATTTGTTCTCATTTCTCTCCTGGGACGATGTTCTCACCAGAACCGTACCCTACATATATATATATATATATATATATATATATATATATATATATATATATGAAGAAATTAAATGAAAAGAGATAAATAAATGAGGGTATTTTCAAAAGAAAATTAGATAACCCCCGGGAATGTGAGATAACATAAGGCATGAATGAGTTTAACATTCCCGAGAATGTAACTTTCCTGTTTGTTTCAAACCCGTGAACCAAACAATGGTATCTGATATTCCGTGCTTCAGATTCCGACCCCATGTGAGATACCCCAAACCGCAAATTAAACCGGCCCTAACATCCATAATTTGGTCACTTGTTGTTGGCATATCTATACATATACTCCGTAATAGTTTTACAAATTTGAGTGGTCCCTCTGATTTATTACACGGAGTAATGAGTATAAAAATATTTGCAACCATTCTTGTTATATCGTAATAGCTTTTTTGTCTTTGAATTTTGTTCGTAATAGCTTTTTTGTCTTTGAATTTTGTTCACAGACAAAATACGCACCTTTGTTTTTTTGTCTTATTTTATCTGTGCAAAAGCCTTCAGAGAGGTGGGTGTGATGTGGATATAAGGGTGCGTACAAATATCATTTTTCACATATTTGCTTCACTTATATATTACTCTCTCCGTCCCTCAATTAAGTTCCTAGATGAATTTCACACATATTAAGAAAATAAATTTAATAGGAATTAAATTTAACTATTTTGACACTGTTTAGACACTATTTGATACTGTTTTATACCGTTTTGATATACTCCCTCTATCCCAAAAACAACTTCTCACTTTCTTAAATGGATGTCCCAAAATTAACTTCACACTTCTTCCCACTTCCTTATAAGGCAAATTATCTACATCAAAACAGTGACAAACAGTACCAAAAAACGCTAAATAAAGTCCAAAAAATGTTTAAACAGTGTCAAAACAATAAAAATTACGCTAAATTTATTTTCTTAGAAAATGAAGAGTGAAGTTGGTTTTGGGAGTGGAGGGGCAGATAATTTGCTTCTGCCAAAAGAACCCAGGTTACCTCCATATTTTGTGAATCAAGAAGCTGTCATGTGAGATAAAATCTGAGCTCGACCCCGCACCACTGGTAGCTTTTCTTGGCCGTACCACCCTCTGTGAGCTCCGCGCCCTTCCTCCTCCTCCCTCACGTTGCTACTTCCAGCCTGTAACTTGTTAATAGGGCCTCCATGGATAAACAAATTGCCCAACTTCATTAACCAGCCATCTACTTCCCGTACTGCCACTTAGCTTTTTGAAACCAGCCCTCAGCCAACCTCCATAAGCTTTCTCTTTCCCACCTTCCGCATATTCAAAGCGCTTCGGACATAATAGATCAGTGTGGTTCATGAGTCCACAAATAAAGCAAAAGTGCAATCTTTCTTATTTCTTATATTCCACCCCCTGATTCGCACAAATTCTTTCCACCCCTTGATAAAAACACCAACCTGGTTGCCAATAATCTGGGCAATTTTCTCCATGAGTTGATGGAATAGATGTCGGATTGTCTGCCGGGTCCAGTTTGCGTGAAACGAGCAAAGACGACGAAGAATCCTGTTCCTTTCACACCAATTACCCCAACATCCCCAAGCTATTCTCGCCAGATCAATTTTCCTTTCCACCTGAAAAGTGAGCTCCAACCACTCCAGGAAAGAACCGGCCGTCTGCCCCACCTGCTCAAAATTACTCCAGCCCATTGCTCGCCAAGATTCAATAGCCACTGTACAACGCACAAAGCAGTGAAGCAATGATTCTTCTCCCCCTCCACACAGTCCGCACCTTACCAGACATCCCACCCTTCGGCTAGCTAGATTGACAGTAGTCGGCAGACAACCAACCCAAGCTTGCCAGAAAAAAGATTTAATCTTTGGTGGGAGTTTCCAGTTCCACATCAATGCCCAGCCTGTCCATAAATCCTCCTGAGACTCGCCTGTGATTTTCCTGTAACATCTACGCACTGAGGATCTGCCCCACTCTCCCGTCTCCAGATTAGTTTATCAGGTATTTTAAGCTTACTTATTGAAATACTCTGTATTAATTCTCTATCCCTGTTGTTGAAAATGTCAATTAAAATGTCTGAATCCCATGTCTGAGATTGCCCACTAAATACGCTGTTAACAGTCTTATTTTCCAACCCCTCAGGAGGGGGTGTTGAAACCAGAGGATTTGCCTTATCTGGCAGCCAGGGATCTGCCCAAATATTTAACTTTACACCTTTACTCCTAGTAGACATTATTTCACTGTAATCGCATTAAAGCACTTGTAGTACTAAAAAAGTTAAAATCCTTATTATCTTATTTAGACATCTACACATGACACTTCGCTGCCTGCTGAATGCGTAGAAGATAATTTTTCTATTCTAGTTTCCCTTTATTAAGTAATTATACATAATATCAATAGTAATAGTTTTGATTTTGGAGGCCCCCTTGGCATGTGAGGCCCAAGGCTGTTGCCTAGCCTAACTCCCCCCAAAGCCTCCTATGTGCCCAAATCTTGATATAATTACCGTCACCAACCTGCCAACAATAGCCATCCCGAATAACTCCCGGCGTCTCAAACAAGCTCCTTCATACATAAGATGGGTTGCTTCCCAGTTTGGCTTTAAGAAAATTACCATCAGGATAGTACCTGGCACTGTACTCACCAAGGCCTTCGGGTCTGTAAATAATCTCCAAGCTTGTTTAGCAAGCATAGCAATATTGAATTGCCGTAGTACCCTTTTTAAATCTCTGGAAGCAGAGGCCTCTTCAGCATGGGTCATATGGCAGTGGATAGTCTGGACTAAAATCATATTGGTTTTTTATAAGGGACTTAAAATGCTCTGCATTCAACAGAGTTAAATTGATGTGTTTTGCGGTTGTTTAATAATCTAAAAGCTTGAAGATGGAAATAAATTGTTGTCAATATTTCTTGATCATTAGAGCATCTTTAACACAATAGTGTGCATACTGCACATATGACATGAAAGAGATAGACACACAAATAAATCGATGCTACATATGCACCGTTCAAATTGTTGCATTGGAGATGCTATGAGTTATGTATGTCATGGAAATTATTCTGTTATTCTTCATTCACGTTGATTTAAACATGCAGAGTATATGAAAGATCTTACGTATCTAGAGAAGGAAAGAAAGATACATCCCAATCGTCACATTGATGCATTTATGAAGGTTTCATATTTAATCAGCTTAGTACTCCCTCCCTTCCATATTACTTGTCCCACATTAATTTTGGGATTATTCCAAGTTGTGCGCCTCAATTTCCTTTTTGAAAATGGCACAAAAAAAGTAAGTTGGTACAGCACATCTCCAAAGAGTGTACAGTACACAAAAACAAACCCCTCAAAGCTGCTATAGTGCACCTTAAAAAAGTGTAAGGTGAAAAAAAAAACGAACCCCTTAAAGCCACTTTTCCAACTCCTGCAAACACTATTCTAAACTATGAAACCCCCACTGGGACAACTATTTTGGAATGGAGGGAGTAATTATTCAATAATATCTTTTTTAATACACTTTTTATTTACTTCTTATCGTAATTTATACACAGGCATCATCAGTTAGCAGTGGAAAACACACTGTGTGTACATATTATATTATGAAAGTACTTGGTCTTGACATTTGTTCAGATACTCTAGTTGAAAATGAGATGCTTATGGGTGTTTCAGGTGGAAAAAAGGAAGAGCGTTACAACAGGTTTTCCACTTTCTTGTGTATTCTCTCTACTTGTATTCATTTTCTAAGGTGCCTATGGCAGACAAGTGGAAATTTGAATTCTAACTCAATGTTTACTCTTTCATATGATAATAAAGACTTGTGCAAATTGACATCTCACGACCCAGTAACATATTTATATTTTATACTGCTTCTTTTCATTTCATTTTCATTTACCCTAGTGCCGAAAAGTCTCCCACCTACGGTGGGGTAAGGGGGGTCGGATGTACGCGGTCTTACCCCTGTACTAAAGCAAAGAGAGACTGTTTCCGGATGACCCATAATGAAAATTGCGTCCAAAATTGTATGGACTGATTGCTGCTCCATAACAAAGAAGCGCAGACAGTTTAGTGAGCCATTTTGCTTTATTCCATCATAATCTCAAGCCAAAAAATAATGAATCTTTGGCTCCATTGCAAATGATGGAAAATACTGCTTCTTTTCATTAAACAAACTTTTTTATATTGTAAATATTTAGGATAGTTTCACCGTCTTTCTAATGGATTATATACCAGCTTATTTAAATATGAGTCCTTGTGAAAATCCAACAGAAAATTCCTGACAGCCTTGTGGGAATTCACTAAAAATTGTTTCCGTAGTTATTAGTTAATGGGACACTTTATTCTTCAGTGCTCATAGGCTCATGGCGTTGAATGATCATTCCATAATTGGGAAATGTCAATGCAGGAGTATTGATTGTTGGGCCAAGAAAGACTCTGTTTATGGATGAAATATCTACTGGACTTGACAGCTCTACTACATACCATATTGTGAAGTGCATAAGGAATTGTGTTCATCTAATGGAAGGAACCATCTTAATGGCTCTTCTTCAGCCTGCCCCAGAGACATTTGATATGTTTGATGATCTGGTTTTGCTTTCCGAAGGATATGTAGTGTACCATGGTCCACGAGATAGTGTTGTTGAGTTCTTTGAGTCATTAGGTTTTAAACTGCCACCTCGTAAGGGGATTGCAGATTTTCTTCAGAAGGTTATTTGTTTTATATTTCCTTTTAAAATAATAATAATAATAATAGTTATTGTTGTTATAGTCTTTAAGAGCGTGTGTTGATTATATGTCCTCACTGTGATGCAGAAGAAACCGTAACTAATCTTTTTTGCAGGTGACTTCAAGGAAAGACCCGGCACAATACTGGGCTGATCATTCAAAACCATATGCTTTTATTCCAGTTTCAAAAATTGCTGAAGATATTGTCAGGCCTTGGAGTCTTATCTGTCAGGTCCTTATGAAGGAACTGGTGCTCATCATTCAGCTCTCTGTGCTAAAAGGTTTGCAGTCTCTAACTGGGAGCTCTTTAGAGCATGTTTTTCCAGGGAACTGCTTCGTTTTAAAAGACACAGATTTCTTTACTCTTTGCCAGGTATACTTGCCTTTTTTCAGGTTAAAAACATAACCTTCACGTATGAAGTGGGAATCATAATTTTTACTTATAGGCTTATATCTTCGACATCACTATGCCTTGCAATATGAGTCTCCAGGTTTGTCAATATTGTTGCAGGTTGCATTTGTGGGATTTCTGACGTGCACAAAGTTCCTAAGAACCCGGTTACACCCCACTGATTTGGTCAACACAAATCTGGGAAATGAAATACTCCCTCCGTCCCGAAAAGGTTGGCCAAATTTCCTTTTTTGGATGTCCCAAAAAGATTTGCCATTTCCATTTAAAGTAAGGAATATGTGGCTAAAATTAATACTCTCCCCTCTGCACAAATTTCAACCACACAGTTTTTACTTTATTAATCCACATGAAAGTCAACTTTGGTCAACCTTTTCGGGACGGAGGGAGTATAAAACAAATAACCTTCTGAAGAAAATCTGCAATCCCCTGACGAGGTGGTAGTTTAAAACCTAATGACTCAAAGAACTCAACAACACTATCTCGTGGACCATGGTACACTACATATCCTTCGGAAAGCAAAACCAGATCAGCAAACATATCAAATGTCTCCAGGGCAGGCTGAAGAAGAGCCATTAAGACGGTTCCTTCCATTAAATGAACAAAATTCCTTATGCACTTCACAATATGGTATGTAGTAGAGCTGTCAAGCCCCACAGATATTTCATCCATAAACAGAGTCTTTCTTGGCCCAACAATCATCTCTCCTGCATTGACATGTCCCAATTATGGAATGATCATTCAACGCTATGAGCCTATGAGCACTGAAGAATAAAGTTTCTCATTAACTACGGAAACAATTTTATGTCAATGTAGTTTTCTATGTCAGTAATTTTCAATTGTTCATTTTCTTGTTTAGAAGGATGAACATTTTTGTCATCACATATACATTCCTGTATTTCTTGATTTTTTGTCTTTCAACCAAGTGATCTGCTACACCTTTTGTGCATAGAAGAATGTTTTTTAAGAATGTGTATAGAAGAATCATTCGCAAGAGATTCTTTAGAACTCTCGGTTTTGATTCTCACAGGGGCATTCATAGCAGGATTATGTGACTTTTTCACTTTACTTGTTTGTATCTGTAACTGTAAATGCATAAGGCTACATTATCTGTAACTGTATAAATGAATTTTGCTCACATAATTTTGTTTTTGAGTAAAGGTGAGATAATCCTGTTGCATTCAATGTTATCTCTTTCGTACTTGGGTCTAATTTATCATTTCCTCCCCCTTAGGTTATGAATATTATTTCTTTAAATTACAGTCTGCGAACTGTGCGGCAAATGAATCATTAGTCATGAGCTCAATGTATTTTATTATTGTGGGTGATTCAAAACCAACATACACTACCGACCTTCTTTGAAGATCCATTTTTGTACGATGAGGTGTAGCGATCGGAACATATACAACACAATCAAGTATCTTTATGTGTGCTAAGTTCGGCTCTTGTCTAGGTACTAATTGCATTGAGGAATATTCATGATTCGTAGTAGGTTTGAGACGGGTTCGGTTCTTAAGCAAAACATGTGAAGCCATTTAAAAAAATCTCAACTTTTAATATATGCTCAATTCATGTAAATTATTTGTAGAATCGATACAGAACCGAATTAAATTTTAACGGTTCGATTCTAGTCGTTTTTTGTTCCTACTTTTTTAGAATCTCTTACAAATCACTACTAAATTTGTGCCAGATATAGACTGATGGATTATTGGAATCCAAATTATATAATAAATGGAGAGATTGAGCTATGAAAGTGGAGAAGATGAATGAATAGTAATGTATGAATGAGTTGTGTTCTAGGGTTACAAGTGGCTCTAAGAGGAGTATAAATAGAGATAATGGGTCAGGCCGCTAATATGGGCCCGATAGGCCCAACTACATAAAAGACTAATCTAGTACATACAGATGATATATGACCAGTACAATTATACAAAAGACATCTGATAAGCGTGTGTGGGCCGCTGTCCAAGCTCAATAGTCGTGAGACCTGGGGGTCCGAGTCAATATACTCTATCAGGAGTCCCGCACTCCCTGAGTCGAGTGTACTCGAGGCGAAAGGGAGTAGAACTGTGTGCTGATCTCTCTTCGTCTGGTGAATAAACTTCGTGAAAAAATTTGAGGCGCTAAGTCCCCCGCTCTTCCAGTTAGTGTTGGACTCGGATCGGGCCACCTGGCCCGTGGACCGGCCCGGCCCGCTACTGTGCGCGACCGGGATCGACCCGATTCTCGGGTCCGGGTCCGGGTCGGGCCTAGGCCCGGGGGGTAGGGCAGGTCCGGGCTCGGGTCTCACATTTGGCGAACCGGCCCGGTCGGGTCGGGCCCGGGCCAAATTGATTTTTTTTTTCTTTTCATTTTTGGGGTTCCACCCGGGTTAGGCTTGATGGTTAGGATGGGTTTGGGGGGGGGGGGGGTTGGGAGGGTGGGGTGAGGGGGGGGGGGGGGTGGGGGGTTAGGAAAGCAAAAAAAAAATGCCCAAACCGGAGGCCCGGCCCGGACCCGGTGGCTACCTGGGCCGGTCCCGGGTCCACCATTCCTGAACCGCCGGCCCGCCCGGGCCTAGGCCCGACCCGGACCCGACTCGGACCCGAGTCCACCCTTACTTCCAGCCCCCACTCCTTGAGGTGAATATAGTGAGGTGAAGAGGAGTAGAATAGTGCATGTCTCGTGATGTCTTCAATAGGGATCGAGGGTCGACACCTTTTGTCCACGTTGGGGAGATGCCTCGTTAAAAACCTCATTAGGAAAAAACCCTATGGGAAAATATCCTAATGCGGGAAAAAGAGTACACCGGATGCCCCCAAAATGAAGCAAAAGGGGTGAAACCCTTCGGCCTGGGTGCGGAACTGCCACCGTCGGCATCTGCTAAGGGGATCACCAAGATCGGTCCTCGTATGTGTGTAGCTCCGCATGATACGTAGTCCTAGTCATCAAATAAAAATGACTAAGAGATAGGTCGAGTGACCGTCCATAATATGATGTCTGGGTCATCAAATAAAGCGACCGAGACGTGTGACCGAGAGGCCGATAAGAAGTCCAAGCCATCAAATAAAGATGACCAGGAGAGACGGCTAAGTGGCCGGTATGATGTCATCATTTAGTTGCACCTATGCATTCAAATAAAATTGTTATAATTTCTTGAGCTTATAATTTGCTATTGGATTTGGGTCTAAATTAAGTTGCCTCAAATTTCCAAGCTGGAGCTCAAGCTAGGTTTCTATGCTTATGGGTATCACTGAAAGCTAGGATCCTCATGGGTCCTAAAGCTGTTTTGTGGGTATCACTGGACTTCATCCTGATCTGGTGATATCCAGCTTTGAGATCTAATTTAGAAAAAATTATGGCACCACCTAACTCATCAAGAAGTTCCTCTATCACTGGGATTGGAAACTTATCAGGTATAGTAACCTTATTCAAAGCCTTATAGTCTCCACAGAACTTCCAGCCCTCGTCTTTCTTTCTAGCCAATAGTATAGGACTACTATAAGGGCTATTGTTGTTTTTAATAATTCCAGATTTCAACATTTTCGCAATAATCTTCTCAATTTCATTCTTTTGATCAAATGAATACCTGTAGTGTCTGAGATTTGGTATATCTGCTCCTTCTTTAATATTAATGGCATGATCACATTCCCTTGCAGGTGGAAACTTTAGTGTAGAAGTAAAAACTTCCGGAAATTCAGCTATCAACTTATCCCAATTTCCCCCCATGTCCTCCTCTTTTGTCTGCTTTTCTGATTTTCCTTCACAGTACAACAGAAACCCATCTCCAACTTGATGTAAAATATGAGCCGTAGTTTTTATAGTTACCTCCATTTGATTTGCAGTTGGATTCCCTCTTATACACTAGTGCAAAATATGTATTCTATAACTAGATTTTAATATGGGTTTAATTAGAACCGTTATAATATGTAGGCGTGGGGTCAAATTTATAAATAATGAAAGTTTGAGTAAGTTGAGCGGGTATCTTTCATAAATAAAAAAACATTATTCATATGGGGCATTAAAGAACCGATATCAATCACTAAAACGGGGCCGTTTTTATGATTTTCGAAAACTTGAATTTCGTAATGGGGTGTGTTTTATAATTTTAAAAAATAGTTTTCAATGTCTTTCCTCACTTAACCCTTATCAAATTTTTGGGATACATGATGAGCGAGAGGGGCATTGAGCCTAATCCTGAGAAGGTAAAGGCGATCATGGATATGGAGGCTCCAAGGAACCTGAAGGAGATTCAGAGATTGATCGGTCGATTAGCAGCTCTGAGCAGGTTCTTGTCCAAACTGACTGATCGGGCAATTCCATTTTTCCAGATCATGAAGAAAGCAAACCCCTTTGAATGGATTGCCGAATGCCAAACGGCCTTCGAAGAGTTCAAGTTGTATCTATCTTCTCCCCTGGTATTAACAAAAGCTGACCTAGGGGAACATCTTTATATGTACCTTGCTATCGCCGATCTAGTCGTAAGTTCTGTGTTGCTAAAAGAAGAAGATGGCATCCAGAGGCCTATATACTTTGTGAGTAAAGCCCTGAACGGCCCAGAGACTAGGTACACTCTGATGGAGAAAACGGTGTTGGTCCTAATAGCAGCCATCAAACGGCTTGCGCCTTATTTCCAGGCACATTTGATAACCGTATATACAACACAGCCACTAGCCACCATCCTGAGAAATCCGATGGCTAGCGGGAGCATCACAAAGTGGAGTCTCCTGATCGGGCAGTACGAGGTGGACTTTAGACCTCGACCCACTATCAAAGGTCAGGCATTGGCTGATTTTATAGCAGAATGTACTGCTCGGCCTTCGGAGATCGAGACGAAAGGCAGCATGATGGATGAATGGTGGGAAATGTACGTAGATGGTGCATCAAGTGCTAAAGACTGTGGAGGTGGAGCTGTGATCACATCACCTGAAGGTTTTAAGGCATACTACTCCATCCATTTTGACTTCAAAGTAACCAACAATGAGGCCGAATATGAAGCTCTCATTGCAGGGTTAAAATATGCAAAAGCTCTGGGCGTCGATCAGCTCAAGGTCCGGTCAGACAGCCAGCTGGTGGTCTACCAAGTGAATGGCACGGCTGAAACTAAAGAAGAAAGGATGAAGGCTTACAAGGAACTGGTCGAGGAACAGATCGAAAAGTTTGAACATGTAGTGCTCGACCAGATTTCCAGGATAGAAAATCAGGAAGCATATATTTTATCCAAATTGGAGAATGCAGCTCTTGATGACCATGCACAGATGATCCCTGCTCACATCCAGCGGTTTGCTCACCGGGAAATCCTAACAACACCAGCAACTATGGTCCTCCAGGTAGAAGCCATCTCTTATGCCCTTCCTAGTTGGGTCACGGATATGACCAACTATTTAAAGGACGGGACCCTCCCACAAGACAAAAATTCAACATACAATATGAAGTGCATTCAGAGGAGGGCATCCATGTTCGAACTGGTGGACGGGCAGCTCTACAAAAAGACATTTGGAGGACCATATCTGAAGTGCCTACCACCTAATCTAGCAGCGGTGGTATTGGAAGAAATTCACGAAGGAATATGTTCCAGCCATCAAGGACTAAAACATTGGCAAGAAAGATCATCCTGCAAGGATACTATTGGCCAACAATCCAACAAGACTGCTTCGCTCATACCAGAAAATGTAAGGTCTGCCAATTGTATGCACCGGTCCCCGGACGGCCAGCTACTTTCTACACCCCGATGAGAGTTGCCCTTCCGTTCGCCAGGTGGGGGATCGACTTGCTAAGGCCCCTACCTACCGCTCCCGGAGGACTAAAATACATCATCGTCGGGATTGACTATTTCACCAAGTGGGTGGAGGCCGAACCACTAGCAAGTATTACAGATTTCAAATGCCAAAAGTTCGTCTGGCAGAATATCATTTGTCGATTCGGTCTCCCCGAACAGATCATCACATATAATGGCAGGCAGTTCGTGAGCAGGAATTTCGAAAACTATTTGGTCAAATGGCAAATCAAACATTCCAGAGTATCTGTAGCATACCCTCAGGCGAATGGCCAAGTAGAAAACATGATCCATACCATTATGGATGGTATGAAGAAAAAACTAGAGCACTGTTCCTCCTCGTGGCCGGACCAATTGAATTATATCTTGTGGACATACTGAACGACACCCCGAACGGATACTGGAGAGACTTCATTTGCCCTTACCTACG